CACAGTTTAACTCTCAGTTCTTATCATATTTTATTACCATTTTCTAAACCATAGCGAATAAACTGTGATAATGTGAGAAATGTTGGTGTCTGAATACATTTTGGTTTGACTGTATCTATTTGACCAAATAGTTAGTTAACCAACTAACATTATACATACTCTTTTGGTTTCTGTACTCATACAGTCAAACCAAAAATTATTCAGAGACCCGATATAATTTTTAGATATTTTTTTATTAGTGGGTATGTATAATGTTTTTCAACTAACATTATACATACTCTTTTGGTTTCTGTACCCAATATTTAAAAAATGTACAAATGCAATAAAAATATTGGTATCGGTACTCGGTATCGGCAAGTACCAAAAATAAAAGTATCGGTATCGGGCGAGTACTGGAAAAAGTGGTATCGGTGCATCCCTAATTTTAATACCTTGTATTTCCAGGGCTTGCATTTTTAGGTCCTGAAAATGAACATAGTTGTTTATTTAAGCTGTGAATATTTCAGTTCAAAATATTTCACACACATTTTCATAATTAAAAATTCAATAATTAATATTCACCTTCCAGAGTTCACTTCCAAAATATTCAGTCTGTTTAAAAATAAGATGTATAATATTTGGCAGGCAAATTTCGTTCCATTTTATTTCACTTTCCAAATTCGCTTCCACAAATTCAGTGGTTAAAATTCGACAGAAAATTTCCCATTGCACATCTGGTAGCTGCAGGAATAGCAGTAGAGCACCGATGCATGATCTCCAGCTGCTGTCAGTCGCTCACCAGCAGGTGGCACAAGCGGCTGTTGATGAAGACCAAAGCAACAGGTGGATTAAGTCATTCATTCACAAAAACTGATTTGCAGAAATGGAGCAAGCACTAATTTACTTACTACTTATTGGGACCAGTATAAACATGTGGAAAAGCTGATTGTGTGTATGTTTAATTCAACATCTTCGCTGTTTCCCGTAGCCTACATGTAAGCAGCTTTCTCTACCACAAAGGAGATTATAATGCTATTTTACCCAACGCTAAAGTACAGAACTAACATTCCATCTGAGGAAGACATATATTGCTTTCGGTTGCTTAGTTTCCGTAACTTTGTATCATGGCTTGTGTGACGCTTTGCTGTTATACTGGGGTTCCCCTCATACCTCACACTCCAGGATTCCCCAACGAGGAGTAAGTGCCTCAATGAACTAATACAGTGATATAAGACCTCAGATCTCACAATACAGTTATACATTGTATTTTTAAACAGATTAAATATTTTGGAAGTGAACTCTGGAAGATGAATATGAATTATTTAATTTTTAATTAGGAAAATGTGTGTGAAATATTTTGAATTAAAATATTCACAGCTTAAATAAACAACTATGTTAAATTTCAGGACCTAAATATACCCTGGAAATACAAGGCATTAAAATGCAAGCACTGTTAATGCAATGCATTATTTTTTTCAGTTAGTGCTATTCAACATGCTTTTTGTTTCAAAGACATATTTTGAAATATGTATGATTCATATGTATGATACATATCATGATTGCTTATGTAAGCAGAAACATACATTAAAAAAGTAATCATCAAATATTAAACAGCATATACATCAAAACTGCCTAATAATACTGAATGAAATGTTGACCCAGGAAGTGGTGTAGGGCTGTGCAAGGTTTGGGGATGTTGATGGAAGTGATCTGCTGCTTCTATGTTTTGAACATTGTTATGAATCCAATCTGTATGTACGTAGATCCCTACCAAAGCATCACGGATGCTGCCCCTTCCAGTGTCCTGTGTGAGCCTCTTGCGCCCCTTTGGGTATAGGCCAGGGCTCGCAGCAGGAAGACTGGCCTGCTGGCCACTGTTGTCTTAGCATTACCCACTCAGTGAGATTAGATAACACTGGGAAAACATACTCATTCTATTTAAAACAGGAGCGTTGTGGAAGCCCCATCCTTCCCGAAGGAGATTTTAGGTGGCATTTACACATGTGCATAACCGCTTAGGTACACATTGAAGAGTTTGAGGTGGTTGTAACCCCCTTGCAGGGATGGCAGAGAAGTCTGCTGGGAAACACACCAGACATGGAGTTTCCAGAAGTCTGGATGTAGGTGCCACAAGGTGCCCCGACTCTGAGAAAGTAGATCCTTCCTCAGAGGAATCTGCCAGGGTGGGGCTGTCACTAGGAGCATCAGTTCCGGGAACCAGGTCCGGTTGGGCCAGTAGAGCAAGACCTGATCCTCATTCTCCCTGACTTTGCACAGTGTCTGTGTGAGAAGGCTTACTGGGGGAAACGCATATTTGCACAGGCCGGCGCAGCCAGCTGTGTGCCAGTGCATCCGTGCTGAGTGTTCCCTCGGTCAGGGAGTAGATAAAGAAAACTTCTTACTCCAAAGGAGGAGGTGGCGGGTAGTGTTGCTTTCGTCAATGAAAATTATGACTAAATATCGTCGTGATGAATAAAAACGAGACTAAATGTGGTTTACAAAATAAAAACTATGCTAAAATGTCTCTTCATTTTCGTTGACCAAAACGAGACAAAACGAAATGTTATAACGTTATTTCGTCTCGTTTAGTCGCATTATTATTATTATTTTGCAGTATTTCTGTTTCCTGTGTCTCGCTTCCTGGGCTGCATCAGGTCGCACTGTGCAGACGATGTCACTTCCTCAAGCCCCACTCGCGGCATTATTTAGAACAGTGTTTCCCAACCGGGGTCCGTCGAGAGCAGGGGTGCCGTGTAAAAAACGTGTGACGCTCTGTGTATTATCCCGCTCTATGCGTGTGTGTATTATCCATAGACTGTATGGTATTATTCCGCTCTGTGTGTGTGTGTATTATCCCACTCTATGCGCGTGTGTGCTCCGCTCAGTCGCTCGCGGCCCATGTGAGTGCTCCACTCAAATACCGTTCATGCTCATCGGAACAGCAAAGTCCACTCAAAAATCAAGCTGACAGGAAACGTCGATGTAGTACAGTATTGTTTCTGTTTGCAATAGCCCTACTGTGCTGTAACAAGGTGTGGTAAATGGGCAAATCTGGTAACGCTGCCCTCTCATTCATTGATCTGCTAACCGTTATGCTCATGTGTCCTCTGATAATAATAGCTTTCTAGGATTAAACATTATTTGGATAATTGGTAAAAAAAAGGCCAGCCGGTGTTCGTCTTTATTTAAATGTATGTGTGTGTACTTCTAACATGAAGAAACGCAAGGTCTGACCACAAGATAAAGGTTTGGCGGCAGGCCGGTGTGACAAGCCAGTGCCGTGCTGCCACGCCCACCACGGGACTTGGCCATGGAGCCAGCGCTGAAGCGGTCTTATATGAAGCAGCCCCAGTGGTGTGACCGCCGCTGCAGCTGCCATATGCCCCAGGAGCCTCTGAAATTGTTTTAGTGGGACCGCCGTCCTGCCTTTTGAATTAATTTAAGCAGTTCAACACTGACTGAGCACGTTCCACTGTAATGTTATTCTCTTTTTTTATTCTCTCGGCCTGTCCACAACTCTCCGTGCCCTCTTGGGACCCTGACACAGCCAGAGATTGCGCTCCTGGACCACAAGCGTGGACATCGCACGACCCAGAGAACTCACGGTGACCTTCGCCGCTTGAAATGCAACTTCCAGATCATGACCACCCTCATGCAGGTCCTTCAGTGCTTTTGCCTGGTGAACCTGCAGTAACGCCATAGCATGTAGGGCGGAGGCAGCTTCTCCACAAGCCGCATAAGCAGTGCCGGCCAGACCAGACGAGTACCTACAGGCCCGGTAGGGGAGATGGTGGTGGTATTAGGACACAACGGCATCGCTACCAACCACTCGTATACCCCCAAGCTGCACCACCGTCGAGAGTGGTGAGGGAGGAGGAGCACACAGGCCGGTTTCTGGCAGTAAAAGTTGCCGTCCATGACCTAGTGAGCTCCTCATGCACCTCTGGGAAGAAAGACATTGGTGCGGGGTGCTGAGAACCAGTGCGAGCCACCCCAAGAAATCAATCGTCCTACCCTCTTGGCAACCCGGGCAAGCATAGCCATCATCTCTGGTTCCAATTCAGGCATTGCCACCATCCCGGAGGCCCTCCGATGCAGCGATTGACATACGATTGTCGGGAGGAGCCCCAAAGGATATGGCTGGTACGCTCCTTTTAGAGGGCCCAGCACGTTTCTCGGGCAGCTCGACTGGCTGCAGAGTGCTAGAGGAGTGACGGTCCCTCTGAGGTTGGTTCCTCGGAGGGGTCGCCGCCACTGTGATCCTCAGACCACCCGAGCTACTGCCTGAAGTAGTCCTCCCCTGACTTCTGCCAGGAAGAGAACTACATCAAGGCAGAGGCACTGGAACTCTGCCCTTTTTGAGGAAGTGAAGCCTGCGATCGTGAACATCACCCGGCACCAGGTAACGACCACATCCAGAAACACACGGGTGGAACAACATCTATACAAAGATGCAACGTCGTCTTTACAAAGACACAGCGTCGAGTTGGTACAGACGCAATATCGAATGCTCTGTTAGGGGAAAAGCCTTTTTTTAGCGTGCTGAAGCGCACAGGTGAGATGGCCGCCTGCAGCATAAACGGGGTAGTTCAGCCTGATGTGTTCAACCCACTCGACACGGGAAAACGACCACCGCTGTAGTGCCATTCCACCAACATGAAGAAGCTCCCTTAGAGCGTGCTGAACTCGTCTCATTTACAAACGAAGCTTGGTAAGAGCAGAACGATTGAAAACGCTCGGTTCCGAAGCGAAATGATGAGTATGCGTTGCACCTGCTGCCTATTTATACTCGCGCTGCGATCAGCGGCAGCTGGATGCAATCATCGCATGCTGGTGTGCACTAGAAGTAGAGTGGTCTCTCTAGCGAGATCCCCATTTCGTCAATGTGACATCAAAAGTGATTGACTGAAAGGGAACTACAATGTTAATTTAAATTCTTGTTTTTATTGTTTGTAGACTTTCAGACTGCAGTATCACTGAAGAAGGTTATCTAGCTCTGGCTTCAGCTCTGAAATCAAACCCTTCACACCTGATAGAGCTGGATCTCACAGGAAATGATCCTGGACAATCAGGAGTGAAGGAGCTCAATGATATACTACAGGATCCAAACTGTCAACTGAAAACACTGAGGTGAGTGATATTAAAATAATTAAGTGCAATAGTTTTAAAACCATTGTAGCTGAAAGAGAATATAACTGTCAAAAATAAATTCATAAAAGCTTTGATTGACTTAAGGCCCTTTTACAAAATGAATTTTAAAATATTAACATAACGTCTTAAACCCAGTTTAGCTGAAAGAGAGAAAAAAAAGATGTTTATAAAAGCTTTGAAATTATTAAAAGCCCTTTCACAAGCTTGTGAAAAAAATATTCTCAATATATTTCCTCTTTCTGAAGGTTTTTGAGTCCTGCTGCAGAGGAAGCCTGTCAGTATGTGACTGGAATTGTGGGTGAAAACCCGTTACTCCTGAGAGAACTGAATCTGAGTGAACATGAACTAGAAGACACACGAGTGAATCAGATCTCTGCTCTACTGCAGGATAAACACTGTAAACTCAACACACTGACGTGAGTATTTTTAGTTACATTTTTATTACACATTTAAAATATCTTAAATGAGGTGACCAAAATCAGTTTTCGGGAATCCCTTAATAGTGGAATCAAGTACTTCGTATTTGTAAATTGTCCCTCTCACGTTCATTTTAGGCTGTGTGATTGTGGTCTAACAGAGGAAAGCTGTTCAGTACTTGCTACAGTCCTGAGATCAAACTCCAGTCTGAAAGAACTTGACATGAGCAACAATAATCTGCAGGATTCAGGAGTGAAGAAACTCCAGAACGGATTAGAAGATACAAACTGTGCACTGGAGAAACTCAGGTGAGTTTAATAAACCACTGTTGGAGTTTAATAATATTGTTCTCTTTTGTTCAGTTGAAAATTACTGGAGTAAACTTAGGGAAATTAAAAGACATGCTTCTGTCCCTAGACCAGTCCTTCTCTGCCCAGAAGAGAAAATAAATTTAGTGTATTTGAGGTTATATGATATAAAAAAAAAAAAACATTCACTGATATTAATGTTATAATAGATTTGATGACTTTTTTGAATCCTCTTTTTTCTAGACTTTCCGACTGCAGCATCACTGAAGAAGGTTATAAAGCTCTGGCTTCAGCTCTGAGATCAAACCCTTCACACCTGATAGAGCTGGATCTCACAGGAAATGATCCTGGACAATCAGGAGTGAAGCAGCTCAATGATTTACTACAGGATCCAAACTATCAACTGAAGACACTGAGGTGAGATGTGAAAAAAATGTTACTGTGGAAATTTCTGATGGAAAAATTTTATGTGACAAAATTGTGTCGTCACAAGCTAATTATCCATTTGCTACCCTTTCTTATCTGCTTAAAAGCCAGAAGGATCTTGAGATGGTAATTTAATTTTGGAGAATCATGATCTAGTGAACTTTTGCTTTGTTGGACGTTTCAGTCTTCCTATGTGTGTAGTAAAATTGATTTTCACTTCAATAATTGTGACTTTTTGACTTTCTTTTCAAAACAATATTTGTGTATTTAAATGTTCAAAGTAAAACTGTTAAAAGTAGCTAGAGCTTTCATTACAAACAATGTTTGGCAATCTTAGCATGTTTTTTAATATAATGCACACTGAATTGAATCCTACTTTAAATTCTCTTCTGCAGGTTTTTGGGTCCTGCTGCAGATGAAGCCTGTCAGTATGCAACTGAAGTTCAGGGTGAAAACCCGTTACTCCTGAAAGAACTGAATCTGAGTTTACATGAACTAGGAGATACACGAGTGAATCAGATCGCTGCTCTACTGCAGGATAAACACTGTAAACTCAACACACTACAGTGAGTATTTTACATTATTTAACATGTTGTTTTTAATAATTTTTGCTGTTAATTTAGTCACACTTAGACCATGCAAGATGAGCGGCTGCCTGTTTTTCAAAATTAAAAAAAAAAAAGAATACCAAGAAACACAAAATTATTACCAGTGGCTCCTGATGATATATTGAGGTTTTATGAAGTGAAACGATCCGTCTGTGTAAGAAACTGAACATTATTTACAGCATTATTACCTGTAATCCATAGCTTCAGGCAAATGGTCCAGAGTGATGTCCAGTTCGCAAAATAATCATTATTTCTACACTGGTTATTGCACTGCACTGGTTATTGCACTGGCCCCCAGGGGGCGTTCGGAGAGCATTTGGGGGGCGCTGGAAGCAATATTTTTTAAAGGGGGTGCTGAGGTGTTCTTGGGGGGCGTTTGGTTAAGGCGAGTTTACACCAAAGAAGTATGAGCTGAAACTTGCAAAAGAAAATGGTCTGGCACATCCTAACGCCGTCTCTACACTGGATGCATCAAAGTGCACTTTCTATATCCGTTTGTCATGTCGGTACCGCAGGCAAAGAACGCGACATCCGTTTATGTTGTGCTCGTGCTCAGATACTGAACCACTGATTATAATCAGGATCTGTGTGCTTTGACGCAACGTGTTACGACGTTCGCGCCCGGTGTAGTAGTGTTAGTTAGGGTAAGCCGCTAGTTTACACCAATACTACCGCTTCTAAACTATCATTTCCATAGCTTTCTGTAGCGCAGCTGCCAGACTTCCAGTGAAAACAATGGCAAATATTTAGACACGTTCAAGCACAGTATGCTTTTTCTTGTTTAGAAAAATTTATATAAATGCTTTTTGTTTGAATGCCAAATTTAAAGAGTTTATTCAATGTTCATAAATATAGCCTAATTTATATTCACGTGGCTTTTTTTGCTCCTTGGAAAACTAATGATAATGGTATTTCAAGTCCAGTCAAATCAAATATGCCATGAATGTCATGTGGCATTCAATGACATAATTTTTTTATTATTTATGGGCTACTGTGGGCTGTTATATTTGGGTTAAAATACATGCTTTTAAAATAGTTTCATATTACAAATAAAATATAGCCTTTAATATACACTAACATTCAAAAGAAAAAGTCAGTAAGATTATTTTAATTGTTGCATTTATTTGATCAAAAACAATTAAAAAAAACAGCAAACAGTACATCTACAATTTGAAAGAACTGCTTTCTTTTTCTTTTCTTTCTATTTTCCTCTCATGCTAAAGCTCCATTACTCCAGCTTTCAGTGTCACATGATCCTTCAGAAATCATGCTGATTGCTGCTCAAAAAATTGTTGTTATTATTATTATTATAGCTGGCACACCACACTGTCAAAAAAGCAAGATTTGAAATGTATTGGACTAACAAAGATATAAATCAGGAAAGCACTAAAATTGTTTTGAAAATGAGGAGCATATTTTTTCCCATCTTATTACTTGGTTTTCTATTAAGTAATTGTAAGCAAACTTTGAAATATTCTCACAAAGTCATGAAATATAGTAAAGGAGGGTTTACGTTTCTTCCATTTGCGTGTATAAATGTGGTATTTACAGACCAAAATGACCATGTACTCTATGTCAGAAAAAAAAAAAAATTCAATATATTCTCAAAAACAGGGTATTTGCTAAAACTAAGAGACAAATATTAGCCTATTATTTTTCACTGAAAGCTGATACATGATAAATCACAGGACAGTGTTGACAATTTTCTGCACTCCTGAATGTTTCTATGTGCACGCGATCTGTACGTAATGTGCAAGTTTGTGTGTTGTGCGTGCGTGCAGTGTAGCAGCACATTAGTTTAGAGCAGAGCTTAGCTACCTGTACAATAAACTGTTTAGTGAGTGAAGTGACATGTGGCCAAGTATGGTGACCCATACTCAGAATTAGTGCTCTGCATTTACCCATCCAAAGTGCACACACACAGCAGTGAACACACACACACCGTGAACACACACCCGGAGCAGTGGGCAGCCATTTATGCTGCGGCGCCCGGGGAGCAGTTGGGGGTTCGGTGCCTTGCTCAAGGGCACCTCAGTCGTGGTATTGAAGGTGGAAGAGAGCGCTGTACATTCACTCCCACCACCTACAATCCCTGCCGGTACGAGACTCGAACCCACAACCTTTGGGTTATGAGTCCGACTCTCTAACCATTAGGCCACAACTTCCCCATTTAAAATGTGAATTCACCCAGTCAGTTTTGATTGTCCACATGCTACAAACAAACATGCTTGAAATATAACCTCCTGCACTTGTCCATCGCCGTCATTATAACCCTCACCTGGGTTATAATCAGGGGTGATTTGAGTGATCCACATATCTGTCAAACTAGCTAATGATGTTTAATGCGTGAATTTTTGATAAAATGCAGTTATATTATGGGCTGTTGGCATTAATTGTGCTTGTGATAGAGCGGTAATGGAGCGCTCTCGGAGTGACTGAAAACGATGACCCTCCGACTTAAAAAATAAATAAATAAATCCACTCCTCGCTCCCTTCCACTCCGCTCACTTTGCCAGGAACGGAAGAACAAACTAAAATCTCTTCTGTAAAAATGCCCCTGTGGATATATTCTAAACAGGGATTTTTATCAAGTCTTTTTAAATTTGGGGCAACAACGTCACCAATTATTTAGCAATGAAATTCACCAACATGCTTAAGAACTCTGTAAATAAATGTTATTGCACTTATTTTCAAATAATCTATTTTAAAAATGTATTTCACTGTCATTTCATTTTTTTCAATAATTTAATGGATCCTTGAATTAGAAAGTAATTTCTTTAAAAAAGTAATGACCCCATACATTTTAATGCTACTGTAAATATAATACCAGTCCTCATTATAAACACAAAATAATAAACAACTATAGTCTGTGAAGACAATTAGAATACTTTTTATTTGATGGGGGGGCGATGAAGTACCTGAATAATGGGTGGGGGGGCGCTGGCCCAAAAAAGTTTGAGAACCACTGGTTTATGTAAAAAGGGGGGTTGTTTAAGACTATATTCATTTTATATGCTTTATATATGTAAAACATATGTTTCACATCATTATTGGGAGCTTTAATAATGTAATTGTGTATACATTACGTCATTGTTTAAATATGAAAACAAACTGGAGAATTAGTTCATTGAACCAGAAACGAACTGTCCAAAAGAACCGGTTTGCAGAAAAGAATCAGACTTCCTGTTTGGATGAGGCTATGGATTACAGGTAACAATGTTGTGAATAATGTTCAGTGTCTTTCAGAGAATGATAATTTCACTTTATAAGACCTACAGTATCTCACAGAAGTGAGTACAACCCTCACATTTTTGTAAATATTGTATTATATCTTTTCATGTGACATCACTGAATAAATTACACTTTGCTACAGTGTAAAGTAGTGAGTTTACAGCTTGTATAACAGTGTAAATTTGCTGTCCCCTCAAAATAACTCAACACACAGCCATTAATGTCTAAACCGCTGGCCACAAAAGTGAGTACACCCCTAAGTGAAAATGTCCAAATTGGGCCCAATTAGCCATTTTCTCTCCCTGGTTGTCATGTGACTCATTAGTGTTACAAGGTCTCAGGTGTAAATGGGGAGCAGGTGTGTTAAATTTGGTGTTATCGCTCTCACTCTCACATACTGGTCACTGGAAGTTCAACATGGCACCTCAAGGCAAAGAACTCTCTGAGGATCTGAAAAAAACAATTGTTGCTATACGAAGATTGCCAAGACCCTGAAACTGAGCTGCAGCACGGTGGCCAAGACCATACAGTGGTTTAACAGGACAGGTTCCACTCAGAACAGGCCTCGCCATGGTCGACCAAAGAAGTTGAGTGCACATGCTCAGCATAATATCCAGAGGTTGTGTTTGGGAAATAGACGTATGAGTGCTGCCAGCATTGCTGCAGAGGTTGAAACTTATACAAGCTGTACACTCACTACTTTACATTGTTGGAAAGTGTCATTTCTTCAGTGTTGTCACATGAAAAGATATAATAAAATATTTAAAAGAATGTGAGGGGTGTACTCACTTCTGTGAGATACTGTATATAGTATATTGTCAGGACCCTCAGGTAGTAATTTTGGGTTCCTTGAAATGCTTTTTTTGTTTTCAAAAATGGGTAGCCACTGATTTGCATTTTATGAATCACCAAGGACCACGGTTTGAGCTATAAAAAAAAACTCTTTACAGTTCTACTGAAGAAAAAATCACCTACAACAGTTTTCTGTTTCACATAAAACAAGGTGAGTCTGCTTTTAGTTATTATGCCGCCCGCAGTTGGAATCAGCTTCCAGAAGAGATCAGATGTGCTAAAACATTAGTCACATTTAAATGCAGACTCAAAACTCATCTGTTTAGCTGTGCATTTATTGAATGAGCACTGTGCGATGTCCGAACTGATTGCACTATATTTTGTATAATCATGTTCTATTCTTAACCATTTTAAATTCATTTTAAAACTCTTAAATACATTTTTTAATCATTTTCAAAGTTTTTAAATTCCTTGTTTTATTGTGATTATTTTTTTCTTTTCTTTTATGTAAAGCACTTTGAATTACCATTGTGTATGAAATGTGCTATATAAATAAACTTGCCTTGCCTTGCCTTGCCTTGCCTTGCTTTACATCAATTAACAGCAAATTTTTATTTTTGGGTGGACTGTCCCTTTAAATGCACATACAGGGGTTGGCCAAAATAATATGGACACATGGGAAATAGGTGATATTATATTAAGGTGTTTTTACCATCATTTGCCTTTAACACTGACTCAGCTGTACTATCATTAGCAGATCCTGCAACCCCTCCCCCTCGTTCACCATCACCGGAATATTAACCATATGCACCTATTATCATTCATCCTGAACAACTATAAAGACAGCACTAACCCTCATTTTGTCGTTTGATCTTGTCTAATACTGTTGCATACTTGACTGCCTACCTGTACTGCCTAACTGCATGGACATTGGT